ATTAGTTACAAATGGAAGCTAATCACTGTATAAACTTACTTTATACATATTTTTTCGGTTCACAAGTTAACTACTTTTAAAAAGGAGATTGGGTTACAATAATTGTGCATTTTGTATTGAAAGTTCCTGATTATAATCAAATGTTTGTTGTTAAATAAAGATATTATTACTATTATTATTAATTAAAAAAGACATTCATCTAAACTATGAATCATAATCATTTCAGAATTATGTGTTATTGAACATATACTGTTAAACTTGTTTATTATACAGATATTTTTTTCACAGATTGAAATCATGAGTCAATTGAAGCTAGACCACCATGGAAAACGGGGAAGCACTGGATGGCCGTTTCGTCCTAGTATGGGACTCTTCAGCGGTGCACATCCACGATCCCGCATCAATTGACTCATAATTTCAATCTATGAAATTTCTAAAATCTTTACAAAATCCTTCTGATAATAATCATCTGCTTACTAGTGACTGACTTCAAGCGATACTCCTGGAGTTCTAGTAAGAAGCCGTTACCAGTGGAGTTCAACCAGGTCTGTCGTGAGATATCACCTCACTGAAGACAATGGTGAATGTGTCGCTCAATTTCGTGGATTGGTTGAAGTGAGGTATTAACACCGTTGAATACCTGCTCAGTGGTCTAATTTGTTAAGTGACTGGCGTGAGACTGATAAGTCCTGGGGTCGAATCTTGAGGGGTGCGGGATCGTGGATGCGCACTGCTGAAGAGCCCGATACTACGATGAAACGGCCGTCCAGTGCTTCCAGGTTTTCCATGGTGTTCTAGCTTCAATTGACTCATGATTTCTATCTGTGAAATTTCTAAAATCTCCACAAACCCCTTCAGGTATTTTTTTGTCGTGAACTGAAGTCGAAATATGTATTTCATGACCACGAAATCTTGCTCATATATATATGATTCAGTTGCAAAATCATAACATTCGTAATATCCTATCATGGTTATGAACCATGTAATTAATCAAAACATAAATACTCTATAATATTTATAGATTGATATGTTTACACTGTGTGCTGGTCAATAATCATGCGATTATAACAGATTTAATTGACCTAGCAAGTGATCATTGAAAGAAGTAGATAGATGAGGTCACATCTAATCATTTGCTCACGAAATTGAATTCATTCAGTCTACCATGAAGGATCATTTAAATGTTACACAGGATATCTGCTTTCAGTTCTCGTGGCAGTGTGTTCTTTGGTCTTTCTGTTTTCCGTTTTCCTTCAGGATTCCGAGCTAAGGATTGCCTCATGATACAGTTTGATGGTTTCCTTAATGTATATCCTATCCACTTCCAACATCTTTTCCTAATGTCCTTCTCATCTGGAAGCTGGTTTGTCCTCTCTCACAGTAGGCTGTTGTTGATGTTATCCGGCCAACAGACATTGAGTATCTTGTGTAGACAATTGTTTATAAGTACTTGTATACTTTTGATGATGGTTGTGGTAGTTCTCCAAGTTTCCCCTCTGTATAGTGGAACTGTCTTGACGTTTGTATTGAAGACTGTAACTTTGATACTCGTTAGCGGTTGTTCTGAGTACCACTTGTTCTTCAACTGGTAATTGCTTAGCTTTTCTATAAATAATGATATAGCAATTACTTACTCTTTATTATACATTCATTATTCTATTGAATAATTCCTTTTGATTACATTTCAATTTGTTTTAATGGTTAGGTAATATAATTGGTCAATATATATATCATTTTTCTACAACCATTTACAAATAATTATTTGATGTACGGCGTTTATCATTTGACGAACTTTGTTTTAGTGCTACTACATATTTCATTAGATAATCAACGTTGTTGTTAAGTGTAGATTATTCCCAAAAACGGAGCTCTGGTTCAAATTCATTTTACTTCAAAAGGTTTTGGGCAATATAACTTAAACTGGAGAGAAATGTATCAAAATTTCGAGGTTATGAAATCATTTGATAGCTCAAATGTATATAATAGGGTTAAGTTTCAATCTGTATAGATGTATACAGGAAAGTATTGACTACAATGCTTGATGTAGCAGTATTTGATAACAATAAAATGTGAAAAAGCAACCGAAACAGGTTTCTTTCACTAGGAAAATATTGTTCTATTTTTATAACTTATAATATCTGATTATTATCAGTATAGGGAATATGTGGAGATTGTAGTATTTTCACAGTTGGGTTCACGAGTCAATCTAAGCGAGATTACCATTGAAAACTTGGAAGAATGTGAAGTTTTTCTATTTGTATTCTTTACAAGCTTAATAAACTTGTAATGTTATGTATTCAGCTGTGATTGATATGTAAAAATGTTTTTTAAATCGTTGTATCACTGGGAAATTAACTGTAATCACAAATGCTTTGATTATTGTGTTGATATATTCTAATTTCTAATAAACTATGAATCTATTTGTATTTAGTTAATGTGAATAAAGCTCATTTCAAAAGTGAAATGTTCCGCAGTATTACGTGTGTATGTTCTAAAAGTCAGTAATATTGATATAATCTATTTGATATCGCCTTTCTGATAATCTCTAGTTTATTTTTATCCTATATTGATGTCTATTTCAATGTTTATTGGCTAACAGAGAGATAAAAGATTAACATAAAGTAGTTTACTTGTAAAGGTTGTTTAAAATTTTCTAGTTGGTGTCAAAGACTCCAAATGATCGGCTGAGAAAATTCAATCAAATGAAAATAATTTGTAAGTCACCTCATAACACAAGCATCTGGCTATCTGGACTTAGTAACAAAATTGGTAACTCAATGATCGTTTAAAGCAAAAAGTGTCAGGTTCGGCTTTCACTGTGATTATCAACACTAGGATGTTAATATATTCAGCTAACATGTCCCAAATAGGACGAAATGATTGTTCCGGATTCCACTGCTAGACACTGACCAACTCTAATCAGTAGTACAAAATGATTGTACATGTATTCAATATTCATATATTTGATGTATTTTACTGATGATTATTAGTGATAACGTTAGAAGTATACAATAGTTTATTGATTTTCACCTATAAGTCTCCATGTCTTCATTTATGTAATGAAGGTTCTTGATTTACTTCAATTCTAGACATTCTTATAATTAGTACAGTTAGTTTTATTTTATTTTCTTCGGGTTTTAATTTGTCCATTGTTCTTTTTTTTTTGATGACCCAATTAGTCAATTTGTTTATATTGATTAATTCTAGAGCAAAATAATTAGCGATACCCTGTACCGTTTTTTTTTATAATAATAATATTAACTATCTTTCTATTCGCTTTTTAGGTCATTTCCAGCATTCAGTGCATCTTTTTAACCTGTTTGATAAAATGTAAATAAATTGTAATCATTTAATAAGTGTACACAAATTATAAAACATGCATTTATAATTTTAATGGTAATAGTATGGTTTAGTATTCTCATATATATACATATTTGAAATAGTTTGTATTAATTAATAAGTTGTCGATAATTTTCGTGTCCCTTTCGATGGTTACTACTATTGATCTGTTAGTAAGTATGTATCTTCGTTATGATAAAACACTTTATAATATTGACTGACAAACCTTTTGAAACTAATTTAATAAAATGAATGAATAACCTCTTATTAGTATATTAATCTTTCTACTAATATCTAATCGAATATGTCGATAAAAATCAGGTATACTATAACGGTCATTATTATTATTATTCATAAACTATTGAGAAAAATAATTGTTCTGATATTGCTCGTTAATCGATAAAATCAATTGATTGATTGTTAAGTTTCAGCGGTGGTAGGTGTTATTTTTTTATTCAATAGTAGTATTCACTATGTTCAGTATTATGTATTTGATGATATGAAAAAAAATTATCTGGCTAAAATGTACACGATAGCAACAATATTCCGTCCTTTGTATCCAGTTAACTTGTAAATATTCAGCATTGTATAGCTGTCATTCATCGATAGCAGGCTTAAAAAGGTTTGACTTGTATTTAGCAGTAAGTAATTCACCTCACTATAAACATTTTATGAGAAGCTTGCGAGTATATTTGGTTAACATCCATGATTGTTTATTTAAAACAAATCTTAAATAACAAACTTTGTTGTGATATTTAAACTATTGCAAAATAGGTGAATTAAGAGTTTGACCATGTCACTATATATATATATATATATATATATATATATATATATATATATATATATATATATATATATATATATATATATATATAATTTCGTTACTATTCTGCACTGCATTTTGATAATTCCCCTTTGGCATGTTTGCTTGCTGAGTAAATTACCTTGATATTTTGTCACAAGGTTTTTTGGAGATAGATCTTGGTTAGTAGTTGAATTCAGGGCAGACATCTCGTCCTAATCCATACTTGGATGAGTTAGGAATTATCTGGATTTAATAACCCAGTGTACACTTGCAGCAAAACGTAATGCTTTCGGGTCTTAATGTGAACATCAGTACTGCGATACGTTCACATGCAGTTAACGAATCTCACACAGAACAAAATGTGGGTTCTGGATTTCACTACCAAGTAAAAACCATCTATTCTGAAAACTATTTCTGTTGAATAACATTTTTATTCATGGTTCAAACTTTTCAACCTTTTTCAAACGGAACCATTGATTTTTTTTCATGACCTACTATTGTTGTACATGATTTTGAAGTTGCTAATTTTTGTGTTTTAACATTTATGTACTGAAGTGTTTAACTAATAATAATGTTCTTATAAATAATCAAGTTCAGTTGATTAAGAATTACACCATAAAACTTTATTCAGTTTCATGTTATGATAGTCGTTGTTGCAAAATAGATGGATTTTTTTGAAATATAAATGTTGATAACAGAAGAAAATATCTTGACAACTGTTTTGTGCGTTCATTTTGAACTGCTCTATTATCAGTCAATAATTTAGTATTTTCGTTCGCCAAAATCTGTTTGATAGATCACTAATTTAACATAACAACGGTATTTGTTCTTGACTTGTTTTCTGTGAATTCAGCCCATCTCAGAGAAGCACTAGAAGAATATATGCGAATGTTAAATATTGTCAAAATTGTTCGTACTAAACGACGTGAAGGATTGATCAGAGCAAGAATGATTGGTGCAGAACACAGTACTGGGAATGTGCTCGTATTTCTAGATTCGCATATTGAATGTACTACAGGTGAGTTTGGTAATACATTAACATTACCTGATTGTACGATTGTTTCATAATATTGTATTTTTTACGGAATGTAAATATGAATTTTTTGAGTGTAAACATATTTTTATAACGAATAAAGATTAAGAGGTCGAATATGCTCGACTTGATGTTGCCAGATTTAACAACTATACAAAAGAACTACTGACTTTTGATATTTTTATCACTACTTACGTTTTTCATCACTAAACTAGTCTATATATAGTGAATAATTTTCTTGATGATACTCAAGTAAGATTATTTCCAAATAGTTTAGATCATATTTTATATGATTTAATTGACTCCTCGTATTCTTTTCGATAATATCCGTTAACTGTTAATTTAATGAATTATTTTTCACGGTTCTTTGTGTATTCTTTTGTTGCGATACGTATGTGGATTTGTAAACACTACATAAATGTAATTGGAAAGTATGTATGACATTTTGCGTAGACTTTTTCCTCTGTTGGTTGTAATTATTCATCCCCTTCATTGTATATAATTCGATAGATCATTCTTATTTAGAAATTATATTGTATTTTGTTATTATTCGATGATATATATTTGACCATGTCAGTCATTCACTGATGATTGTAACTGGTTTTATATGAGTGTTGTGTGGGTGTGCGTTTACCACATACAGTCTTCATAACGTTTCTTCATTTTTTTTATCTATCTGATTATAAATATTGATTCATGCTTTGTTAAAGGGAAGTTTCTACGTTTGTCGTTCCCGCATCACATCTCGTCTTATAGTCTCTCCAATCAAATGAGTACTTGAAATAGATTCATCTGAATTAATTCGTACTTGGCCTTTTATTACACTTGTCGCCTAAACGGGGATAAATTAGATACACTGAACCAAACAGAGGATTTCTGTTCATAGTCGGTCAACGTTAATCCCTTCATCATTACTCATGTAATCGATATGTTGACACACATTATTCAAATAACATATTTGAAGTGAATTATATAATGAACATAAGACAAATCTGTGCTCTAGTAAAATATACATTCGATTTACGGCTTTCTGACTTTCCGAATCCAGAGGGAGAGAGACAGAGTTCTTATTGATAGTGTATACTGGATCTCTCACACATTTCTGTATATTTTACCATATAGATTTTACTTCAGATGAATATGGAATATGTGGTTATTTACACTTCAACATTGAGACAATATTCACCATTCAGTTTATGTAGTACAACTAAACACAATACAATGTTGTTCGCAATGATATCATTTTATGAGTTGGAAGATGAACGTGACAAGAATACACTGTTGGAATAAAGCTGTTCACTGACAGCCGGAAATCGTGTAATTATGTTAAGTGACACACTGTTATTAGTAGTATACTTCAAACCTGTGCTCCATTGATCTTCAATCACCCGTTACAATGTCAAAGTGACGTTTTGCATAAAACTGTGCATTTTATTGTTCATTAGTTGTTTTTCATCTACAATCTTACATGGTTCAACATCACAGAATATGTAACCGTTTGTATTTGTTTTTGTTTGTTTTCTAGGCTGGCTTGAACCCCTTTTAGATCGTATTGCTTACAATTCGTCAATTGTTGTTGTTCCTGTAATATCGACTATAAGTGATAAAACGTTGAAGTTTAATTTTCTTAAGGCGTCTCATGTTCAAGTTGGTGGATTTGATTGGAGTTTAACATTTCGATGGCATGAACAAAGTGAACGTGACAAAAATCGACCTGGTGCACCATATTCACCTGTTAGGTAAAGAAAATTTAGATTTGATTTTGTGATCTAACTAAATTTAATCACGTTTACGTAATATGAATAATAGCGGTAAAATAATAAGTTAGTAGCGGATTGTAATGTGAGTGTAGTAAGTTGATTAGAATGTTTTGTTACAATAAATAAAGGTAATAGAGGTGCAATAATAAATGAAGTTATGTAGGTAAGAATTATGGATAAAATCATGAGTATATTTTGCACCTCTACTACCTCTAATTATTGTACAGAAACTTTTTAATCATCTTACTGCTTTCACGCAGTAATTCGTTTGCGTTGGCGCACGAGACCGAAGGTCCTGGATCCGAGTCTCGCATCGTGGAAGCTCACTGTTGGTGGGTCCCATAATAAGACGAAATGGCCATTCAGTGTTTCCAGATTGTCAATGGTGGTCTAGCTTAGATCGACCCGTGAATTCAAATATTAAGAATTATATTGTTATTATTCATATTACGTAATGTAGTATTATGATCTTTCGATAGCATCATCATGTTCATTCCTTGTTCACATGTCCTCATGGAACTAGTACTTCAACATAGAAAAATTTTCATGTAAATTTCATCTGTTCAAAAACTACTGTTATCAATCTTTTCAAGCTTTTACCAAAGTTTTCTTCGTAGTGATTGTTTCTCTCTTTTTGAAATCGAATGACAACCTGTTAGTATTCGAAGGTATTCAACAAAAATGCAGTTAGACTGGTTTATTTTTTGCACTTTAGGGATTTTTAATGCAACCAGTTAATGATAATTGTACAGTATAGAGTTGATTTGATCATTAAAGATTATATACGTTTTTGTTAATTTTGATTATTACCTCGAACAAGTTCAGTCAAGTTTGCTAGACGAAACTTTGGAATCATTTAAATTTTAATCGCTGAGATTATGTGAAATATAATTTTCACATATAATGATGATCATTGTTATTGAAATTACAGACAATGGTCTTTATTTCCACGCGCGGATTCTCATGCCTAAATAATCCTATTCTCGATCGTAACAGGCATCCATTGCTTTCAGATTTTAAGTGGTGATCTGACTAAGATCAGGATGTGATTTAAAAACTATGGAACTCCTATCATCTTGATATGTCCTCTATATTATTAAAAAAATGTTTCGGTCTGAAATACTTCTCTACACAAAAACCTTCCTGAGTGTTTTTAATTAGTAGGGAACTCCACTTTTTCGTGTTCAGATATTTATTTTACGCTTGTCATCAGTTAAAATCAGTAGTGATATCTCTTTTATTCCTCTAATATATGCTTTTTATCTATCAAACTACATTGGTTACATCTTGACATGACTACAATCGATTAAATTAAGTCTATATCAAGACAGCAGCCGAAAAAAATCAAGCATCTCATTTAAATCGATTGAAATGATGACATGAAAATTTCCTACTCAAGCCGCTTCAACAATGGTGTTTGAGGTAATGAAATCTATTCCAATAAAAATGTTATAATAACCCATAGTGTTATTGACACAGTAGACGCACAACTTCGAGATCAACAAGCTGGATTTTATAGGGATCGATCGTACACAGACCAAATTGCAACACTACGGATCATCGTCGAACAATCAGTTGAGTGAAACTCAACACTGTACATCAACTTCATTGATTATGAAAAGGCATTTGAGAGTGTAGATAAAAGGAAATTATGGAAATTTCTTCGACACTACGGTGTTCCTGAGAAGATTGTCAAGATTATCCGGAACTCATACGATGGACTACAGTGCAAGGTCGTGCATGGAGGACAGCCGACAGATGCATTCCAAGTAAGGATCGGAGTCAGACAAGGCTGTCTACTCTCTCCCTTCCTCTTTCTTCTGGTGGTCGACTGGATTATGAGGATCTCGACATCTGAAGAAAAACACGGAATACAATGGATGGCTCGAAATCAATTAGACGATTTGGACTTCGCAAATGACCTATCCCTCCTATCGCATACACACGAACAGATGCAGACAAAGACAACCAGTGTGGAAGCAGTCTGCATCAGTGGGCCTCAGCATACACAAAAAAAACCAAAGTTCTCAAATTCAAGGCGGAGAACAGCAATTTAATCACTCTTGATGGAGAAACCTGTGAAGCATCATCGATGAACAAGGAGGCTCAGATGCAGACGTAACGGCAAGGATTGGCAAAACAAGAACAGCATTCCTACAATTAAAGAACATATGGAACTCAAAACAACTTTCAACCAATATCAAAGTGAGAATGTTCAACACGAACGTCAAGACAGTTCTACTGTACAGAGTTGAAGCGCGGAAAACTACTACAACCACCATCAAGAAGGTGCAAATATTTATAAATGGTTGTCTACGCAAGATACTCAATATCCATTGGCCGGATACCATCAGCAACAGCCTTTTGTGGGAGAGAACAAATCAGCTTCCAGCAGAAGAAGAAATTAGGAAAAGACGATGGGAATGGATAGGACATACATTACGCAAATCATCAAACTGCATCACGGGGCAAGCTCTAACTTGGAATCCTGAAGGGAAGCGGAAAAGAGGAAGGCCAAAAAAAAACACATTACGTCGGGAAATCGAAGCAGACATGTTAAGGGATGAGTAACAAATGGAAGGGATTGCTCAGGACGGGGTTGGATGGAGAATGCTGATGAGCGGCCTATGCTCCTTCATGAAAGTAACAGGCGTAAATAAGTAAGTTGTTGAAAAAGAAAAACAGAATTCAGCGAAGAAAATTTCGCTGAAATAAAATTTTCTTCGATTGATTTCATTTTTTCTTATTGAAAAGTGTTATAATTAAATTATGGTTTAAGTGATACAAAGATTATTTCTCAAGCTGATTTCTTACATTATTTTAATGCTTTAACAATCATTGTTCTTCTTTGAAAACTCAAATTAATTGAATACAAAAGGCATTCATATCATATTTTCTCAAATAAATCACCTTACCATAGTTAATTAAAATTTTCGATATTCACACTTTTTTGTGTTTCATTACCATGTTATCATGGCAACTATAATGCATATTCACTGAATTGATTATTAGTTATTAGATTTAATTTGAATGGTCTACATTGGTTTTCAATGTTAATCATTACTTATTGAATGATTTATATCTGTACACAATTGCTTATAAGAAATATTTCAACAGAGATTCTATATTTGAGGACACATTATTCAATATTGATTTATTTACATGTTTATAATTTCATTTATATTTAAAAGATATTTTAATTGTATTATCTATTCATATCTCTGTAGAGAATTGTTCAAATAATACACAAAAAAAAAACTACTTCAATTATTAGATTACATAATGGATCTTTAAAAACATTTACTTAAGTTTTTATAGATGAAGCATTACATCATATAGATCTGTATTTAATATAATCCATAATTGTTTGAGTTTGTGTTTTTCTTTTTATTATTCCAAATGGTTATTCTAAATGGTATTTATAATATGATATTTATTTGTCATTTACATTTCATTATTATAAAAGTTTATATTATTATACTCTTATCAATACACATTTTGACATAAGCAACATTCTTGTACATACTTAGATCTAGATTACATAACATGATTTATAGTTTATTTTAATATTTTATAGGCCTTTCGAAATAATCTAAGTATTATTGTTATTATTATTCATTTTATTGAGATGAAATACTTTTTATTTAAGGCATGAAATGCATACTCAGTTGATTGGATTATAGTTAATACTAATGGTTCCATTGTCCAGTTATAACTTATATTTTGAAGTATATGTACATATATGTATACTCTAGTGAACTTTATGCGCATTCCTGTGTTGTAAAATATTTGGGATTTCTGTGAAAATAGTTCTATTATATATATATATCAACTTAATTTGTGTAGATTCTCATTTTCCTGAAAGCATCGTCTTGATTCTACCCTCTTATCGTAAATATTTTAGGCTATAAATTATAAAAAAGAGTTTAAAATCGCGACTAAATTCTTAGTCGATTAGTGATATGTCTTGTTGATTGAATGCTACTTGTTATACCTGGTCATCGCTGATTGTTGTGTCGGAAACACTTATCAATTATAAACGAAACGATAGAATTCTTCAATTCTCACGATGCGAAAGTAAGAACACAAAGACTGGTATAAGTAAAGATTTATTAACGCCCAAAAACACGACGACCCTAGTCGAAAATACATTCATTTATATATTAATTAGTATACACACTTTGATGAATAATTAGGATGAAATCACATATGTAAAAAATAGTTATAATAAATCATAAGCTGAGCATAGTTCATATCCATTGAATACAAGAATATCGTATGTTATACAGAATGAACAATCATACAAGAAAAGAAAACAAATACCGCATTGAGTAATCATTATATTGAATCAAAACGGAAGTAATGTTATTATTATTATTTTTATTAATGGCTTTATTCAATATTATAGTTTTGGTATAATATAGAATTCTCAGCACAGGGTACTTCAACAAGTTACTTACGCAAAAAACACCCAGTAAGAAAGACAAAAAAGGAACAAGAAAGGTTTAAAAAAAACCGAAATACTGTACAACTTTTCAAATTAGAGACATGTTATGAATGCAGGTTATTGATTAGGTTAACTCTAACAACCTGTTCGTCACAGAGTATATTTGCTAAGTAAGATATTATAGAACTTTTATACTTTTGCTTGCGTGCATGGATTTTAATGTAATTACGTCTCGTTCTATCAAAAGATATACAAGAAGAAAGATTAGAGTGAAGGGGATGGTTAGTATCTGATTAAATAACACCTGCCAGGAGTTTGCATGACTTTAAATGTTTATCCACAACCATATTAATTATGACCTCGAAAGATTCACCACACATCTTGGTAACTGCCTTCAGCACTCTCCGCAATACAGCAAAGTCTTTTCTCAAAAGCCCGGGATAAAAATCATAATAAGTAAATCAATCTAATTTTGACTTTTACCATCATATCAATCGGAAAACAGACTAAGATTGGCACTGTAGTGTTTGAGAAAGAATTATGGTTGTATGGTTAAAATTCAGGGATAGGGTTGATTTACGTGTTATAAGCAACCTAAAACAGAAGAATCGAACATTTGTAAGAACTACAATCTAAATTTGGATGAATAGTTTTACAGTAGTTGGGTATCTAATTAATTTGAAAAACATAAACGTGGTGGAGCAAGAACAAAGATTGGTGCAGAATAATCTATGAATTCATTTTATTTCGTTAGATTCTCATCAGCTGCTTACAACCCAAATTATTTGAAATTCAAATTATAACAGATATTGACATTTGTTATACATAAGAGTGTGATTAAGGATCAATACATGTGTACGATGATGTAGCAAATATTCATATAGAGTTAATGAGCTCATAAAATGTTTGATTCGAATAAATAAATAAAGTTAAAGAGGGAAAGTTCTGGAACATTGAAATAGTGATTAGAACTCGTGAAAATAGATTAATAGTAATAAAGAAAATATGAATTGAAATCAATCATTTATGTATGATGTAATTTAAACTTCAGAAAGAGTTGCAATAATGACGCAATAAATAAATAATTAGGAGCAAATGAATAGAAATGGTGGGGGTTATTGTTACCAGGGTAAAGAAAGATTTATTACTGTCTCTTTTTGTATACATAGATCTGGTTTTAAACGTCTGAATGCTATTGCTTCGGCAAATTTCAAAAGGTTGGAGTTTGATTGTTTGTTAATCACCTTGAAAGACTTCAGTATATCAACTTCATGTCCTGTATCAAGGAGATATCTTGCGATAGCACTGTTGAATGCGTTCAATCCATTTAACCTTAAACTTTTCGGAATATGTTCTTTGAATCGGACATCTCCTTGATACAGGACATGAAGTTGATATACTGAAGTCTTTCAAGGTGATTAACAAACAATCAAACTCCAACCTTTTGAAATTTGCCGAAGCAATAGCATTCAGACGTTTAAAACCAGATCTATGTATTTAAAAAGAGACAGTAATAAGTCTTTCTTTACCCTGGTAACAATAACCCCCCTTTTCTATTCATTTATTTCTCTACTCATTTATTTATTTTGTCATTACTCCAACTCTTTTAGATTACATCATACATAACTGACTGATTTCAATTCATATTTTCGTTATTACCATTAATCTATTTTCATGAGTTCTAATCACTATTTCAATGTTCCAGAACTTTCCCTCTCAAACTTTATTTATTCGAGATAAAATTTTATGACCTCATTAACTCGATCGGAACCTTCGCTACACCATGATACATTTATTCATCTTTACTCACCCTCTTATGTATAAATACGTCAATATTTGTAATAATTTGAATTTCAAATAATTTAGGTTGTAAGCAGCTGATGAGAACCTAACAAAATAAAATGAATTCATATTATTCTGCACCAATCTTTGTTCTTGCTCTATTTAAGATAATAAAGGGATAAATGTGTATGAAATAAAAGTGGTGAGTTATATTTATAAGAAATATCTCGGCGACCAACGTAAATCCAAAGTTTGATTATATTTCCTTCAAAAAGCTTGAACCAAATTGCCTTGTGAAACGTTGGATTTTATCAAATTTCATTTTCAGAGTTTTTTTACAGATATGATTTTCTTCTTTAATGACATCACTTTTACTCTTTAATATCAAGAAATAAATTCTATATATAACTTTAAATGTTCTGATCACTTTACAAAATGTGTTCGTACTGTTCTTTTCACATGATGTAAGCTAAAATTGAGTGAATTTAGGGCTAGAACCCCATGAATCATTTTCTTGTTCCTATATGATCTGCCGTTTTGGATTAGTTCAGATAATGATAGCAGTAGAGTTCAGTACACACATTTGATCTTATTTCGGATTCGTCAGCACTATAGTACGAATATTTACACTGAAACTCGAAACTAGTGCGCTTCACTTCGAATAAATGTGTGTTGTTTGAACTTACTGGCTCAATAGGTAACTCATTTCTTTGTAAAACGAACTCTTTTGACTTTGAGTTTTATTGTGAGCATTTACATTGTGATACAGGTACATCCACTTGGTGAATCTCAAACAGGATGAAATGCATGTCTTAAAATTTTGTTGCTGCCAACTATCTAAATTTATTATATCATTCGAATGTTTTCTTCATAAGATTCATCGTGTTTTCTTAGTATCTAATTGATAACAACTTGTGAATATTTATAATGTTCTGTCAGTCATCTGTATAATGTTTATTACGACAAGTAAACAATACTACTTTTTAGTTCTCATTTTATTCAAAGCAATTAGTCCTTTTGATAAATTTTGATAATGTAATAAGAACACGAAGATGATCAGAACTATGTAGTTGTGATTTTCTTTCATGTTGGTTAACTGGGGTCATATACTTATTCTATCCATTCTCAAAGAACTGTGCTATTCCATTTGAAATGTTTTCATTCATTATTCATCACCTATTTTGTTTAGAGTTTTATTCTTTTGACTAAGTACTAGAGATTTATAAGGTAACAATATTAATATTTCTAGATCGTCTGCATTAATTGCATGTATTTACATACACATGCCTAGTATAATAAATACTATTTGTTGCATTTCTTTCTTAAAGTCTAATATTTGTCTTAACAGTTGAATTGACGAGTCGATCCAATCTAACCCACCACTGAAAACCTGAAAACACTGGACGACTGTCTCCTCCTAGTAAGGACTCTTCAGCATTGCGAATACAAGTTCCCACACATGGGACTCGAACTCAAGAAATTCGGTCTCGCGTACGAATGCTTGACCTTCTAGACCACTGAGCCGGCTGGCATTCAACAGTGTCACTGTCTAACTTCAATAGATCCCTGATCTTACGCAGCCATTCATCCATTGTCTCCATTTGACACAGATTGGATTCCACTAGTCACGGCTTCTCGCTAGAACTCCAGGAAATCAATTTTCAAGCTAGTCACTACCGAACATATGGTTATTATCAGAAGGGGGGGTTTGTGGAGCTTAGACAAACTCGTCAACTCATCTGTTAGATTACTACAATTTCCACAAGTCCCTATACTAATGTCTATTTCTTATAAATATTAATCCTTTTTTAAGTTGTATGAAATTGAATATAGACACAGTGAATTGGCATTTCAGTTATTAGTTGTACAACGTAAAAAAATGTATGTAATTAGCCTACATAAATAACGATTATTTCTATAAATCACCAAAAATTCCCATATTATTGTATTAATTCTATTAACCGCTGCATATCATTGCGTCTATATGAATATGTACATGTGTATGTGTGCATTTATGTATGTATTAAAGATAGTTAATTACTATAACTGATATTCCACAAGTAAAATACGTTCTTAAATGTTCCAATAATAATTTAAATTATAAACTGAAGCCATTTGGTGGACCATTAGACGAACCTACAATCATCCATAAACCAATGACATTTATTTCTCTTAGTAAGTTTAATACTCCTAGTTCTGTAGGTCAGCACATAGTAGTCATTTTATCACATAGAATAATCCCCATTCAATAACCTTGGTTATTTCTCGACTTACTTTAAATTAAACCGACTACACAAGTGGTGAGTTGATCTTGTTGACTAGTGATAAAAATTCTCTTCAATATTTCTTTTTGTTTAAAATAAACAAATCTCTTTAAAACATTTAGATAAGTGCATAAGAATACTCTGGCATTATTTAAGTAATAAGAAACTAGTGTACACTGATTTTGTATCCATTAATTTTCACTATTCATCATGTTTCTATTCTTCAGATCACCTACCATGGCAGGTGGTTTATTTGCTATAAGTCGTGAGTATTTTAATCATCTTGGGAAGTATGATTCTGGAATGGAAATATGGGGAGGTGAAAATCTAGAACTGTCATTCAAAGTAAGCAAAGATGTATATAACTGCTTGTATTCTTCTAACTTTAAATAAAATTCATTTTGTTTGTTGTGTATTTGTTCAGTCAGTTGAAACCTAGTTTTACTACTATCTTACTCCCTTTAATCTGCTTCATGTAATTTAAATGGACAGCGAAAATTCATAGAAATTTAAGAAATAAGTCACGCTTTCTTACGTTTAACAACTAATCACACTACTGCTCCTTCCCTAACCGAAGTCAGTGAAGCATAAGTCGAACTTGAAAGGTAATTCCATCAAGTCAAGTCTGGTAACCATAAGTCTGTCATCTTTTACTGAAATATTTAACCAGATATTAACTTGTTTCAAATTACAACCCATATGTATCAGTAGTGTATTTGTGTTTGCTGAGGTAAATGAAAATATATTAATGATATAATTTATTTGAATGTCAGCCATGCAATTCATGTATTTGACTGAGCTACAGATTTCTATTTACGTGTAATGATAGTCACAAATGAATTTTGATATTTGCATGTATATTTATGTAGGCGGTTGATTGTATTATTTTGTCTTGATTGGTATTTCCGTTCTCCCTTATTTATATTTAGACAGCTTAATCTAGATAATTGAGAAAAACAAACATCAATATATAGTTTGTCAAATATATAATAACCTATTGTCGACTACTATGTTTCATTTTCATCCTGATTTTACTACCATTATGGAGGTTCATTTGTTGTGTATTAGCCGTTGAACTATGTTTCAAGTAGAATAGTTCTGTAATGATTTGAAAACAATGATGAAATAATAGCCATGAAAATAGTTATTTGAATGTTCAATCGAACTGGTTAGCATTTGAATGATGTTGTAGTGTTGCTTATAGAATATTATAGAATACTACTAATGTTTAAGGGTTATGTAGCATACAACTGTGAGAGCGAGTTACAAACTTGCATACAAAATACTCATCTGAGAACAGATAACATAAAACTGTGTTTGATATCTCACTTATTCTACCTTAGGTGATTTAACTAATGGCTTGATTATCTACTCTTATGGCGACTAGCATTTTATATTTAGAATGCTAATTACTTACTTATGTCCGTTACTCTTCATGAAGGAGCATAGGCTGCAAGTCAGCATTGTCCATCGAACGCTGTCCTGAACAATCCTTTCCAGTTACTACTCATCCTTTTCATGTTTGCTTCCAATTCTTGACTTAGTGTGTCCTCTGATCTTCCAGTTTTCCGTTTCCCTTCAGGATTCCAAGTTAGTACTGGTCTCGTGATGTAGTTTGATGATTTTCGTAATGCATGTCTTATCCAATTCCACCAACGTTTGCGATTTTCCTCTTCAGTTGGTAGCTGGTTTGTTTTTTCCCACAGTAGGTTGTTCCCGATGACGTCCGGTCAACGGACTTTTAATATCCTGTGTAGACAATTGTTTGTAAATGCTTGCACGTTTTCGGTGATGGTTGTGGTAGTTCTCCAAGTTTCAGCTCCGTACAATAGAACAGTCTTGACGTTCGTGTTAAAGATTCTCGCTTTGTTGGTATTGGTTGGCCGTTGTTTTGAGTACCATTTGTTCTTCAACTAATAATTGCTTAGCTGTTCTATAAATAGTGATATAGAAATTAGTTACTCTTTATTATACATTCATTAATCTATTGAATAATTCCAACACAGTTCCATTCTTCATGGTAGTGCATCTTGAGGCCCAAAACCTTCTGACACCTTGAAGCTAGTGCTTCTTTGTTCCCTTCCCAAGTGTCCTCCATAGTAGTTTTTCTCCTGCGAGTAGATCTTGTACGACTCAGAACCTGTTTTTTAGAGTTATCCTAAATACATTGAGTTTGTAAGTATGTCGAAAGAAGTATGTATCCAACTTTTTATGCCAATTCCTCGATTGTCTATTACTTCTTTGGCTTCAGTTTCATTTTGACGGCCACCAGGTGGTGATAATAAGCTATGTCTCCTCTCTTTGTTCGCATGTCTTCCATTGACTTTCTAAATGTTTTGGTGATGCGTATATGATCTATCTGGTTCTCCGTGGTGTGATACGGTTTTGCCCATGTAGCTTTGTGTATGCGTTTGTGTGGGAATATTGTTCCACTTATTACCATTTGGTTGAATTCACATAAATTTACAAATCTGTTCCCTTTTCCCTGTCCATGTCATCGCATGATATCTTCAAACCCGTTGTTGTCCATCCCGACTTTGGCGTTTAGGTTAGGCTCTTATCTGGACACTTCACTATGATTGGTTGCAGTCCCTCGTGAAAGTGATTTTTATCGTCGTCATTGCCATGATTGGTGGGAGCATAATATTGGACAACATTTATTGTGATTCCATTGTTTTTAATGATGGTTTGATATTGGATCCAAGAGATTCCTATCCCATAAATGTATTTAGTCCTTCATTGGACAGCATCCGAGTGACTCCCCGAATGTGTGGAACATTTTCCTCTTCATAACCGGAGTACAGCAGCACCTCTGTTCATTTTGGGCCCAAGGGGTTCCACTGATTCCGAGCACGGACAAGTTGTATTTTTTTCATTTCCGTAGCCATTTGTCTGATCCTCCAGGTCTTCCATGTACCTATATTAATTGTTGTTGTGGTTGTTAGAAGGGTCATCGGTCTCATGACCTCTGAAGAATCTCGGCTTTCATCATGAGGTGTCATAATTTTTACGAACGAAGATTGTTTAACTTGGAGGGTAGAGTTCAAGTGGTTTAAATTGTTTAGTCTGGTTAGCATTTGTTTTGGCAAGGTTGCTTTCTACAGCATTGGGTTGCTTACCACATACCCAACCGTCCTTCTTTATCCAGACTTGGGTCCTTTATTAACCCTAGAAAATCTGTAGGCGGAGTTGGAATAATTATTTACAGCGTCGTAATTCATGATAGAGGGCGTGTTTCGTTATTTTCTGTTTTTGCTGACTTACATGAAAAATGCGAGGTTTTCATCGATGAAAATGCCACATAATCATGGTGCGGATGTGTCCAGTGTAGTACATTCAGTCATACTGAAAGAAAAATTACAATATTTCTAAATCAATACCTCCAACTATTTCTGTTAAAGAAATTATTTCAAAATATCTTAATTGAGTGACTAAATAGGTGAAAATAACTGTAATTACTATTTGCGATACACTTAGATGACTTGATAACGTGTACTTTATCCACAGCCACGTTCAAATGTTGTTCTCGATAATTATGCCCTTGTTCACAGTTTCAAATCGTTGTGATGCTTCATGCTGATCGATTGTTTACAGGACAGCTGTTGAATAAACGCTTATTCAACTGGTCGGTTAACCTTATGAAACACCAATAACTGACATTTCTTGTTATGGTTTTTAGTATATTCAGTTAGGTGCACTTGGATTCGTAGATTAAAATAGCTTTTCTTATGTAGTTTTTTAAATAACATGGTCAGCCAAAACTGTAGAATCTGCACTTAAGCGTCTCTTTGTGTACTAACTCTGTAATATAAATTATGAAATAATGGACATAGAAAGTGATTACCATGCAAAATCTCACAAATGCGAGCATTCTCTGGTGTAAGGAAATATAACGCGGTAATCAAGATACTTGACCACCGACTGTTGTGTTATATTTCCAAAACAAAATTCTGTTATCTCTGCTCAGACACTTTGTAATTTCTATTAACAATAATATATAATCTGTATTTCAACTTGAGCACACAAAACTGTATGTAGGTAGGTAGTGAGTTACAATATATTCGCTTTACAAACTACCTTTGTGTCTTTTTACTAAAACGTTTAATATTCACATTTTTTTAATCATATATAAGCTCCATTAAGTAGTTTAAAGCGATAAATTATTAATGGATCAATTATGAACCAGATTTCTAATTTAATTAAAGTTGGTTCAGTGATTGTAAAGATAGTTATGAAATATATTAAGAGTTCAGTACCGAAATAATGACAGTTTATTGAAATTTTAATATGTAATGAATGTTTTTCCGAATATTGTCAGTAGATTCATTACATGAAAACGGTTATATGATTCATAATTTAAGTGATTTCTAAGCTTTGACCGTCTATATGGAACAGAATCAAACGATGGAATTATGGAAATAATCCACTTCCAAGAATAGTTCGATTGTAGAACTAGGATATTAGTTTTATGATCATCGATAATTTTTCCAGATCAAAAAGTGTTTGTAAATATTTCACATCATTACTTTACTTATCTTCTTACTAATACCTATTACTCTCAATAGAGTATAGGCCGTCGACCAGCATTCTCCAACCCACTCTGTCCCGGACCTTTCTTTTCTAGCTCTATCCAATTGTTGTTCATTCTTCTCATGTCTATCTTCATTTCTCAACGTAATGTGTTCTTTGGTCTTCTTTGATGCTTCTTCCTGATTTCTTCCTCTGCTGAGTTCTGGTTTGTTCTTTCCCACAGTAGGTTGTTGCTGATAGTGTCTGACCAATGGATCCATTGATAATCATATATTATTATTATTAAGGATTCATAAAACAAATGGAGTTTTAAAGTTTTCTGATAAATTCTCAATTCTAATTTTAAAATATTCTGATTAGTTTGTGCGATAGGATTATAAATAAAAAGAATGTATTTTTAATTTCTGAATGTAAAGAACAATTAGATTTTCGGACGTTTTGTGACTCAGTGTAAGCCACTTCTTCAGAGAATGAACAAACAAATCAAGATTAACCCAAGTTTAAATAATACAAAGGAACAAAGCAAGAATATTAGATGCGATCAGTCAAAAAAAGAGGTCTGAACAAATCAATGTCATGTCATTCCGGTTAAGATAATTTATGTCCGATATGTATGTAAATTGTGTGTGTGCATTTATGTATGCTCAAGGATGAATAAATATGACATTTGTGGTGAGGAAGGATAGAGTTTAATTTATGTGTACGATAATAGTGTGAAAGATGAGTAATATCAGACATGGTAGCTTGGATAGATAGTTCAAGTCGTATGGATAGTGAGGCTGTCTTTTCTAGGACAGTAGGATTAAGCATTATATGGAAAGTTTCAGCTATTCTGCTTTCTTTGTAGTTGAAAAGTCTTTTTGTATGATTTTCATGTTTTTGATTTCGATTTGATGGTTGTTGAAAATGGCGTAAACTGCTGTTGCTGATTTAATTTGAAGTCTCTCCAGTTCTACGGGATTATTAGGTGGTTTCTGTGTATATGCTAAGATTCTTTTCAGTTCGAGTCGAGATTTCACGAGATGACTCTTCAATATAGAAGGCATCACAATCATTACATCCTAATTTCTAGACACAGTTATTTATGAACTTAAAAGTGATTTATTTCTTTTGGAAAAAACTAAAGTATTTTGAAGGGTGTTTTTTGTTTTGTAATATGCTTTAATTCTGTGTAGTTTTAAAATCCTTCATTTTTTGTAATGAAATCATTAAGTATACAATAACTACTAGATCATGTCGTTACTTCTTTCCTCCTCTCAATCTATTCATCATTTGTGATATGTACTATTTAGGTTTGGATGTGTGGTGGTAGTTTAGAAACTGTCGTGTGCAGTCTTGTTGGACATATTTTTCGTAGTCGTTCACCATACAAATGGAATATTAATGTAAAGGATCCTTTGAAAAGAAACCTACTCCGTTTGGCTGATGTATGGCTTGATGATTATAAACGATTTTATCATGCACGTATTGGATTTAACACTGTAAGTTTGCTATACTTAAATTGTATTTGCTTTTTATTGAATGTATATAACTTAATAAATTCAGGGATATATTGCTTGTAAAATAAGTTCAGATTACCCTACTAAGTTTCACAAATCATTCCTATCTAAACTCGTTAGCTATATAAACAACATTCTGTTATGTGACACTTTCATTTTACCGCCTTTTTGTTATAGTAAAAATAACGTGTTGGATAAATATTCAGTTAGAGGAAGAAAACCTTTATTCTGAATTCCTGTATGTTTCATTGTACAGACAAAATTGACAGTTATTCAGAAAATATCTTTCCTCTCATGTTGCTATCAGTTATAATGTGCTTTGGATTTACAATTATCTATATAGTTATTTTCATTCATACTTAGGAATGAATGACGATTGCATCTTAACACTAACATTGACGCAGGTTGATTTGATGAATTGAAAATGATAATGATAAGTAAATTTACCGAACCACCTAAAACTAAACGTAATCCTTTTCTTCTTATCGTGTAAGTATTTGAGTCATTTCATTGTTGATATTAACGGATGAATTTTGGATGTTCTTTGTTGACATTTGTACATCCTGTGTGGATTATTGCCACTGAAAAGCGCTCTCTGGATTCGATTTCTAATCAAATCCCATATTTTCTAAATAGTAATGCTTACTTTCTGAAATTATTTAACAGGCTCTATTATTATGTATTCTTTGGCGTTTGCATAAATCTTTAAACTAAAATGCTTTCATGAGAAGAGATAGATGGTGATTAGGTATGGAATCTAGGACACATGTTTCGTCCTATTTTAGGACTCATCAGCTAGATGAACCTGCATCTGTGTTGATGTTCACCACGGGACTCAAATCTGGTACCATTCGCTTCAAATACTACTATTTTATTGGTTGTTTGAAACTTCGCATTGATGTTTAGGACTGCAATCGACCAGTCTCTTATTGGCATATGCGCATCCTATGCGGTTGCCTCGACATTGCCAGAATTCGCAAGCATTATAAGCCGAGAGGTGAAAACGAATTTTCATTTCTCATTTCAAAACTAATTCAGCTTAACTTTGAAAATGTTTATAATCGTTTAATTATTGTACAAGGTTATTTTTTGGTTTTTTTGATCTGGTCAAGAATGTTCAAAAGTAGTCGAGAATTAAATTTTGAGCATTCATTTTAGAGTACATGTTGGATTCATAAATATTTTCGTGCTCTTTTTTAAGGTAAAATAAAGTAATTTTCAAGAGATGCAATTAACTTTTGGCGATTAATCGCGTAATAAATGGTTTTCTCTATTCTGTATTTACTCTGATTTAGATTGATTTTGGGGATGTTTCAGAACGCAAAGCCTTAAGAGAAAAACTGAAATGTCATTCATTTGATTGGTATTTAACCAATGTTTATCCTGAATTGTTTGTTCCTTCGAAAGCTTTGGCTTCTGGTGATGTAAGTTTTTTTTTGTCGTACATTTTCTGTTTTCTACGGAATTCAATGTTTAAACATGAACTATTTCCCAACTTATGTTTACAATTTGTTTTATGTTTTTACAACTGATCAGTCGCTGAGTAGTGACCGATGTCATTTATGCCGCATCCTCCTTAGTGCTAATCGAATTATATTGATCACGTTATCACTAGTCAAGGCAACTCGACGTAATTTTTGCCTTGATGGGACGTTCGATGGTTGAACATCAAAAGTATACTTGGACCAAGGATTTGTGTTAGTTGGCAATGCTTGTGTAGGCGTACATGTTATGTAGAGGTAACGGACACTCGCTCATTGGGCTTGACAGTTTGAGACGTTGTTTCTTATGTATGTATAAAATGAGTATTTCGACCAGAATAGATGACAGAGATCTTAATTACCAAGATTTTGCGTTTTACAGTATGATTACAGGGAAGTTATTGAAATGATAATTTCGAATAAATTGAGCATTGGGTTCATTGTTATAAATAAAAATAATATATTTGTAATATCCCAATGAGTAGAAAATTGGATTTTCTGACGTTTCGTGACGGAACAACGGAACAATGTTCCGTTGTACTATTTAAACTTGGATTAATTTTTAATTTGGTTATTCATTCTCTGAAGAAATGACTTACACTAAGTCACGAAACGTCAGAAAATCCAATTTTCTACTCATTGGGATATTACAAATATATTATTTTTATTTATAAGTTATTGAAAATTCATGTATTCAAAGATGACGTGATGCTAGTCAAAATGAGTAATTACGGTTACTTGCACCGATCTTTTATTTGGCTATAAACGATTGTTAGTCTATTATCCTATATAATTATACTGATTAAAGCTTAATTAATCTCTATTGTACTAATATGATCTTGTTTATGTAAAACATTTTCTTAAAATTTATTGAACCAACATTGATTTCATGATTCATAAATCAGTGATTTCAATGAAATCCATTTGATAGATGGTTTATTATTTCAATAAACGTTTACAACCACGTTTTATCATATTCGAACTACATTTTCTTTTCTGTGTTACACTTATCCGGATAAAAAATTTCTCATTTTTCTCGCGGTCTACAAATTCTGAAGCTTTGTCAAGTCACTACTCCGTTTCAAATTGTTAAAAATGTCTTCTGTTACCTTTGTTTATCTATTTCAATCCATCATCCATGAATAATTTCCCTTAACCATAATATCGGACATTCCCAATGATATATTCTGTCATATTTATTGGTGACATTGTAAGAATTGGAAAATAAACTCCTTTGGAAATGTCATTATTAGCCTTAAATACTATATTGAAATGATATTTCAACATGGAAACTTGTATCTTTTGTTTTAGACAAATAGTAAGCATAATATGAGCGTTGAAAAGCAGAATGTGAACGAAACTGAGAAATTATTTTGATAGATAATGCTTTTGATGTGATGATCCAGCCGTTGCTATTGTGATCGCAGCGGATGCGTCAAATTATGGAATTGGAGCAGTGATTTCACATATCTAACCCAATGAATCGGAGAAAGTCATATCAAGTGCAGCTAGATCATTAATTACAGCAAAACATATCTACAGTCAGATCAAGAAGAATGCATTGTCATTTTTCTTCGCTGTAAAGGAGTTTCACGAGATGAAATTTGGATGTCAGTTTACGATATTAACTGACGATAAACCATTGCTGGCCATATTCGGGTCGAAGAAGTGGCTCACACTGATTCATGAAACTTCGGAAAGTTTAATTTTCCTACTCATTGAGAAGATGCTGTCGATGGTCTACCAGTTACTTTCAAAGCTATCAAAGGAGCCATGGAAAATAAAAATATATTAGGAGAAGTTAAGGGTTGTCTTCTCACCAAGTGGCCGGACCGTCGTTTTGAAGGAGAACTGCTACAATATTTTCTCTGACGGGACTCACTCAAGATTGTTGATTCATGTATTATGTTCGGCGGCAGAATTATTTTTAAGAAAAAAGATTACGCCACGAGTTTTTGAGATAATTCCACATTGGCCATCCCGGCATCTATAATACAAAGTCGTTCGCTCGAAGCTATGCTTACTGGCCTACAATGGACCGAGATATTAAAACTAGGTGCCTCAATTGTTCGTCGTACCTGCGAACAGCCAAAAGCCTTAGGTTGAGTGGACCACAACAAAGGAAAAAGCCTAATAGTCCCTGAGAGAGTCTCTACTCAGATATTGCCGACCCACCACGAGGAAAAATGTTTTTATTCATAGCTGCTGCACTCACGAAATGGCCGAAAATCTATGCTATGACAAATTGCATAACCAGTGAAACAATCAGCAAGTTACTGGATTGTAGAAAATTACTTGAAACCTACATCTTATAAAATCTGAAGGTTTATTTAATGAGATGGTGATTAAAATACGTATACTTCAGCGAAAATAAATAGTGCTTCTCTTTGAAATCACCTTGTTTAAGTTTCACATTCTTATTCTTCACAAAAAGCCTCGTTGAATTTCTTTTGGATAACTGTTTCCCTGGATGTTGCAAAACCCCTTGTTATGAGTGAACATATTTTTTAAAAATGTGTATTGATTCGTCACTGATGGACTTGGTTAAAGGTTGTATTAGATCGTGAATAAAGAGAGCGAAACGAAATGACGCTCAGTGAAGAAGGCGTGTGAACCAACTCCATTTAATCAAGCGTTAATCAGTATTCATAGCCAGACATAAACAAGTTACAGATATGTGATGAAAAGAATAAGAAGTGTACTTACATATACTCTCATATAAAAACAGACAAGGCTGATAAGTGAATAATTAACAAGGTCAAAACGTAACTCAAGAAGAATGGATAAAGTTAGAATAAGAGAATTGGGCTTAACATAGCAACCTACACTACAACAGTTTAGTACACGAAAAATGTATGACTTGGTTTTGTTACTATGGTAACGGTTCCAAATCACATCGGTCTCGGAAACTCAAGATGTTTTGTGAGTTTATCTTTGAGTTGAGGATATAATCAACTATATTAAGGAAAAACTTCAACGTAGATTATGAGCAACTTCTAATTATCTGCTGCTGTACTTTTAGTTTCACCATATTTCACAATACTTCCGAACAAAATATGGTATTAAATGATGCGACCTGTAAACACATCAATAAATTCGATGGTTAATAACTTTAGTTATCACCAATTTCTTTTAGGCAGTCTGATTTTTGTCACCAGTAATAAATTAACCTGAAATCACTATTTTGAATAAGATCCATATGTGATTAGATTGTAAATCAAACGAACAATGTAGTCTTTATCACGTACAAAAACTGCCTCTGAATATTTTTACACTGCAAAATCTACTTTCATGGTCTGCTGCTTCTTCCGTGATTGCTCACTTCAGTTTATTGCACTTTTATGTTCATTTAAAACGTCGAACTTGCGTTGTTCATTGATAACACGTCTCCTTCTAAATTAACATATGTATATATGTGATTTTAGTTGGAACGTTTAATGTTGCTTCGGTTGGACTATCCGCGATCGGTAAATTTGACTGTAGATATCATATTTGAATTCAGAAAATTAACTGAAGAATGTTAACGTGAAGCTTCACTTCAGTTAAAATTTTAAAAATGAACTATTCATGATGGTAGTGAATTGATGTGACGCGTATTCGTAATTGGACACAGTCAATCATTTTCATTCGAATTTTCAGATTTGTTTGTTTCAAACTAAGTATTTTTTTTTGACAGAAATTATGTTTACATTTGATGATTTGTCAGTCATTAATAATTCTGTCTTTCTTATTTTCGTAATTCGATCAATCAATTTCATCAGTCACATTCTTCCAAATCTTTTTGTGTCCTTTGTTCATTCGGACATGTAAAACTGAGTTCGAATTCTCTCAACTTTCATTTTGGTAATATAAGTCTTTGTGAAGTGAGATGTTTTGCAATAGCCATATATGAATTTTGTATTTTTGAAAACAAATGGAAAGGACAAATTGGTGTCATCAAACTATTCATGTCAGAGATTAGTTGAGGATTAGGTGTTCTCGTTCAATGGTCCGACTACTTCACTCTCAATCCTTAATACAGGTGTTGACGCAGGTCAGTCCTGAGGCAAGAATTTGCATTTAGAGTAGGAGAAACACATCCTAAACGTCCTGACATTGTTGCTCAGTGCTACCAAAAGACTCTGCCTTATATGGGCAACTTCAACAAGCAGGACTATATGATCTGCGTATTCTCAATCGATAAAGTGGACCTCGCGGAAGGAAATCAATGCCCGAAAATACAGTCGATGAGCAAGTTATTTCCAACAGTAGGTCTATGATGATAATATGAAAGCCTTTAGAAAGTAGTATCGTGCAGTATAGGAGACTATTCAATACTAGGAATATCAAATCATTTTGTCCTACCAATTACAAATAAATAACGTAACAAGCAGTTATTTTATACATTTAGCAGTCTTCTTTTATGGCGTGACGTTATTTGAACAAATATTGAATAAATCTATATGAGATGGTGGAGAAGATTTGTAACTCAGGTGCATGCTTTCGAAGTTTTGTTCTCTGAGCTGGATCATCGTTCTTCTGATCGAAATCATCAATACCTGAAGTTTCTGCGGATGATGTCGTTCAGAAGAACGATGATCACTCCACGACCGAACCATCTTGCTCAGAGAACAAAATTCCATCAAGATAAATCTATATTGATAAAGATCTATTCTTTGGTAATTTTCACCTTGTTTAACAAATATATATAGAGTATTTGATGATTAGTTGAATCATCTATATTTCTAACATTGTAGATTGAAAGTGCTGCTGGTCCGCACTGTTTGGATTCACCAACTCCTCGTACTGGAGATAAAAAACAAACTATTATCAAAATATGGCCATGTCATAAACAAGGTGGCAATCAAGTCAGTTAATCGATTGATTATTTATAGTTATGTTGAATAATAAAATAGGAATGACACAAATACCAATAATAGTTTATAGTTTAACATAGAGTACTGTGAATAATTTTCTCTTATTAAATTCTTACACTTGATGTATCTTAATGGGAAGCGATTTTTAGATATTTTTGACTATTTACTGATGATAAATAAAAATAATATATTTGTAATATCCCAATGAGTAGAAAATTGGATTTTCTGACGTTTCGTGACTTAGTATAAGTCACTTCTTCAGAGAATAAATAACCAAATTTACTGATGAATCGAAATTTGTGAAATTTTTAAATTAAAATCTAATTGATGTTCAATAAACTTTAAGGCATAACTGAATCATTAAAGAAGTATAGATGTAGTCAGTGTATTGTTAATTCTGAATAAGATGTGTCAATTACATAAGGCTCTGTGAAAAGCTTTGGATAAAGGTGACATTATTGATCGATGAACTTGTAAACTTGTAAATAATTATAACATATACCCAAGCTACTGAGGTCAATGTTTCAAGATGGTGTTATCAAATGAGTTATTGATTCTGTGCTCGAACACACTGCCAAACCTCAGAGTTACTAACATGGCGTTCCTAATGAATATCATTTATCGTTTGGAGACAACTGTGGTCGAGCTTAGAGTGAGCGAACATTCTTAACTCTAAGGGGCCAGATTTTACAGACATAGAGTAGAACTACTGTCCTCAACACGTTATAAAGCCGATCTTGTGCAGAAAAACTAACATGATGTCAGCGTCAGAGTCCCCCAAGCTTAGAATATGCCTCTTCGACCTTCACTATACGTAAATTAATCTCATCACTCAGTTCACCACCAGCACTCACACAGTTACTCAGATGCATAAACTTCTCAACTACTACTACTGGTTCATCACGTACAATGGGTGCCAATAAATACTGCTCTCAGTTTAGAATATTGGACTTAGGACGAGGAAAGTACATGGTGTAGCCATGGACACTTATTGTTGACTAATTTATTCCAGATTGAATAGATTGGTTATATCGTGCTCATACTCAAGAGCAAATAATTTTTCTGAAGTTAAATGGTCTACATCACTGTTACTTCCATTAGACCTGGTTTCCAGAATGTCACAACTAATATACTCAGATAGAAAAGTGATTAAAGTTTTGTATTTGAAAAAAAAATTTAATTAAGAAGGTGAATAAGTAAACAAGCATTTTATCCTTTGAATCTTAACTTAATTCGTTTTCTGTTTTGTATATTTTCTCTCTAGTTTTGGTTATTATCACCTAACAATGAAATTCGACGTGATGATTATTGTTTTGATTCCGGTACGAAAAACTATACCATTGGTTTATATCGTTGTCATGGTGTACAGGGTAATCAAAAGTTTACTTATGACGAAGTACGTCTTCTAATTTGTAGTTAAAATTATTTTCATCTGCAAAATCGTCATATTATTTAATATAGAAAATTTGACTGTAGAAGAATATGTCTAATTGTTTCTTTTAAACTCAGTTGGCCCTAGCAATTGATGATATCTGCTTACCATGAACAGTTAATAGGTCATATTATGCTGTCTTCAACTAATAAGAATAGCCATAAAATAGTTTTAATAACTTGTGGCCTTGTCCCCTATTATTATATGACGTAATGATACCGCCAATTAGAGAACAGTGATTTATCGATCGGACCAATGACACGTAAAGCCGTATGAGTAGTCTAGATTCCTTATCAGTCCTTCTTCCTGCCTAGCTCTGCTTGTTAAGTCCAAAACACCAATTTCAGGCTCTGCGATATGAATTTTTTTCAAAAGTACTAGATTTATATACAAATGAAACAGAGCATATCGTACCATAAAGTGGAAAACAACATTTGTACAAGATGAAGCCAAAAGTATCTGTGAATGTGGGAGACTGTAATTAATGTACTTGGCATAACTCGTATAATAATAGTCTATTTATCAAAATAAAACTTATAATATCAACAACATGAATACATAATATGAATAGTTTAGTTACTTAACAATTATACAGTAAAAATATATGTATCGTATTGGTCGATAAATAGTTCTTAAAAGTTAGCATTCATAATTCTCGTCGGGATATAACAATAACCTACTTACATGACCATTACAAGTTCCTCATGACTGAATGTTTCTAACCACCATTTGCGAGATTCCAGATGCAGACGACAATCAGCAGTACTTTCTACTGCTAAGCGTACGCGTGCGAGACCGAATGTTTTGGGTTCGAGTCCCATGTGTGGATGATGATGCTGATGAGTCCCATACTAGAACGAAACGCCTGTCTAGTGCTTCGAAGTTTTCACTAGTAGTCTACCTTATATAGACTCATGGATTCAATTATTTTATTCATTTAATTTCTGTGGATCAATGATTTGAATCAAATGATCGGTCTGTATGTGACTGTCGCGTCAAATCGTATCAGTTTATTCTTGTCTATCAATATGATTTGGTGATGAGTACCAGAAAATTCGAATTTTTAACATAGCTCTGAAGCTTATAGTTATCGTATGATCTAAAGTAAAGAGTAGACAACATAGTGTGCTGTATGCTATTTATGTTGACAGTAATAAGTAGTATGTAACGCTGACCAGAAGTGAAATGACTGTCAAAAGAAGGTTGAGAAGATTGAACTCAATAAAGCAGAAAGATAAACATAAAAGGGATTATGAATTTGAAGAATTATGAAGGATGTAAAGGACAATTGATGGAAGATGTGCAAATGCAGTACTCATTGTATTGTTTTCACATTTTAAGAAGACATTCTGTAATTTTATATTTAACAATGAATTGGTTGTCCACACCTGAATTCTTGTTCACTACAATAGTATACTACTTATTTTCTAGTAATGTTTTTTTTTTAAAACTGTCCACTGCAAATGTTGAATTACTGTTGAATTCTAATTGAAAATAATGTAAATCCAACAGTTTGTTTAATCAAACGGAAATTTTTTCTTAAACTACTTTCTAATTTACAGGACAATACTATTCGTCATCAAGGACTATGTTTAGAGATCAATATTGAAAAATCCAGTGTTCAACTTACTTCATGTACTGGATCAATAAAGCAACAATGGAAATTTAATCGCAAACCTTATATGCCGACCGCTGTAGATTTTAATAAATTTTAATATTCACTGAACACATTGGATTAATTACCAAACTCTTATTTCATGTTCAACTATTTCATGTGTATATATATATATCTATTAACATGTATTTGTACTAGCAAGAAAAAGCAACAATGTCTTTCCTTAGATGTACAATCTGTTTCGACAAATGTTTTGTGAATAGAATGGAAAGTATTATGCTATCTATTTATTATTTTTTGTTGTTGTTGTTGTGTATTCAAGATCCAATGTGTAAATTGGTTAAGCCTAGTGATAACATATCATGCTCAGTTTTACAATTTTGTTTATCTGTGATAACAGTTACGTAATATTTATATAAATTTGTGAAAAACTGCAATCAATAAAATAAACAAACAAACAGACAAGATAGATAACCAGTATGAGTCCAATTTTTTTTAAAAAATATTCACTAATGTGCCTTTCTCATGGTGTTTGGTTATTTCTCATGTATGTAATTAAATGTATGAATAAACGATGCTCAATATTTTGTTTATTTATTATCTACCCCTCAACTTTATGGTTGTTATTCTATAGAATGATGGTTTGTTTTCAAAGTGTATTTTAGTCTATTTTTCATTACAAAACTGTTTTGTTTTGCTTCACAACACATTTCCCATCTTATGAATTATGAGGCTGTTGCATAATCATCTTTCTCGTTCGTTTCAGATATATATGGAGAAATGATTGTATTACTCTTATTGTTGTTTTATGTATCAAATTAATTAATTTCATTTTATTCTTTATCCATTAAAACAAACTGTATGTAAGTGCCTATTGAGAATTGAGACGTGAATTTCTCTTGATGATAATCATTATTATTTTGAGTTATTTTATAAACTTCTTTAGAGTAACAAATATCGTGATGAAACAATGTGACCATGATCTTAAGTTTTCTTTTTTACATATTTCGTTTTCTGTCGAATTAAATATTTTATAACTGACTTTTCTCAAAACTTTTTTCCAATTGAATAAGGTGCATTCAATGGTTTGACGTAGTTACATGATTGTCAGATCGGTTTTTGCTTTATACTAATGATTCAGTCTTCTCACACTGTTCATGGTTATACTTCAAATTAATGTCCACAGATGCCGTGGTACGGCCGAGGGTGAGGAGAGTTAGATTCCTCTCTCAAAATGCTCTCACATGGCCGCGCGTATACAGTTACTTCTAGGGAAGACCTTCTCACTGCCTTCTCGCGGTGAAGGTGTTGCTTACGAAATTGAGACGACGAAAAGTGGATGTTCAGCACTTTAACCGGGTTAGTGTACATGTAGAATCCATCTAGCTGAGTTGGAAAATCCTGGTCCCAAACCAATGGTGCACATGGGTTCTAGGATCCTGAAGGAACAAATGGCGTATGAACCACTTATTGGTTGCCGCTCACCATGAGACTGCATTTTCTAACGTTGCTCCATTGCCTTGTGAATCAGACCTTTGGGTCAAAGGCTCCGGGCGTGGCCCCCTAAGAAAACTACCTGTTTTGGTCTGATCATCCGGACAGTATTGCAGCCCACACACAAATCAAGTGACTTGTGTGGCGCATATGTATTCGATCCCCTGTTGTACCAGTATTTATGTGTTCAAATAAATAAATAAATCTATTAAAACAATACCCATTAACCTTCACTTACAGAGATTAACCATAAAGTGGTAACCGATATTATATTTATTTGGTTTCTATGGCTAATCGAATCCTACCGATCAGGTTTCAATGTGGCCATTAGTCTAGGTAACTCATCGTCATATGCTCTATGTTTGATGCTAAATGGTTGAAGGTGGTCTTCAAAAACATTAAGTCTTGACAGCTCAATTATCACATTCATGAAATGACGAGAAATTAACGTGGTGATAACAAAATTGAATAGAGAATCTGTTGAATATACACTGTGTATGTGTACCACCTGCACAGCAGCTTCCATTATGCTGATCTGCACAAAGCTAATGTCAAACAACTGACTAAATGTCAATGAACTAAATGACTAACGTATGCTGAAGATATATCCACAAACGTATAATTGCCTGGCAAACTATCATTGTTTCGTAAACCAAAGTCAGTTTACAATTCACACTTGCCGAATAATAAACAGCCAGTATGACCATTATTTGGCAACAATAACAAGATTTTCCTACAAGCATATTATGCTAGCTTTAAGTAATTGACTTCAATAGTTGTAAATGAGAAGCCTTTAATAAAGTGATATTTGTCAATGTTTTGTTCAAAATATCTGCTATTTTATTTAATAATTCTATATTATATTTTTGGTAAAATATAGAATTCTCATTACAGAATATTTCAACAAATTGGTAGTTCTGACTTCTCGGTCGATCTTGTCGATAAATACTGAGCAATCGCCAGTTAGATGTTAGCAGTCCAGTAATTGAACATCTGAATAATATGCATTATTTTCGCTGCATATTGCCAATGACCACAACATCTCCGTTTTGGCTTTTGTAACATGTACAACGAAGGGTTGTACACTTTTCAGAAACGCACCTGAATAGGTTATGCAATTAATAGACATAATGATGTATTAAAACAAATAAAATAGATAACTTGTTGAAATATCTAGATGACAGGAACAGATAGCCCAGATGTTCAAGCAGGCCGCCAACTTTGCGGGACTTGAAAGAATGAATTTTTCAAGATTTTATGCTCTAGAAAATTTAATGAAACTGACATTATTACTTTATAGCACTAAACCGATTCTCACAAATAATGAAATGTTAGATTAATTCAACTCAATATGATCACTAGTAACCAGTATTGATGTATGAATAGTGGATTTTTCAGCCAGCAATTGATGCAACTCAATCTGTTTGTTTCGACTTTTTTTTCTATATTCTGACTCTAAATGAATATACTTTCTGTTAGTGTCCTTATTTATCATACAATCTGTACTGAACAATCATATGTATGTTACTTCTAGTGTGGGTATGCCGGGATTAGGAACGTGTTGTTGTCATCTTCCCATTATTCTGTTACATTTCTCTAGACTTTGTCGGTTCTGTCTAGACAGTTTGTGTATGCAGTGGCTGTTTAATTCAAGCTCATTCTGCTGTTGATTGCGGACGATGATTACTTCATAATAATACAAACATTTTGCTACTCATTTAGGTATAAAGAAGAAATCAGAAATTTTTAAGTCATCACTTTGATTTAGTTTTATCCCAGTTATTCATACTTTAAAAAAATTCCGAAATGTACTTTAATTTATTATTACAGGAATGTTTGATTGGCGGCGGTACCAATTCAAGTAAAAGTATGCTATTTTAGCATATTTGAAATTAACAGTTTTTTTCAATATGATAGTCAAATATTTTGAACTTAGTATAGTGTGAAGTTGATGGCACAATATTTTTTAAGTCCCAAAGACTTCAAAAAACTACTGAAGTACATAATTGTGATGCAACCGCATTCTTATAGAGGAATCCACAGGGATATTAACCAGAGGGGACGTCATTTGTTCACTGTTAAGTAGATAAATGCTTAGTATAAAAGCAAAACTAATCGAAAAATCCGTAAAGTGGATTTCGAGAAAGTGATATAGGTAATTCATTTTGATACAGCTAGTTTGTTTCTGAATATGTCCTTTTCAGTGCAGTATGTTGTTTAGACACTCCGCCTGAAGTCCCTCAGGGGGCTACTGCCAGTCCTAAGCCCGGATAAAGGAAGAGGGCTGGGCATGGGGTTAGCGACCTCGTCCCGTAGAAAACTAACTCACTAAAAAAACGCTAACCAGAAAAAAATATTCAAACCATTTAAACTCTGCCCCGGGAGTCAGAAGGTCTTCATTTAGAAGGACTATGAGGCCTCATGATGAAAGCCAATTTCCTTCGGAAGTCACGAGGCCGATGTCCCTTCTAACAACCAGAGCAACCACTTATTTAGGTACATCGAATACTCGTGCGATGTGGGACACCAGGAGAGTCTTTCAAATTGCTGCAGAAATGAGGAGATACAACCTGGAGTTGCTTGGGATCAATGAAACAGTGAACGCAGGTTGGACAACAAACACTAGCTTCAAGGGAGCTTCCGCTATACTCCGGCCATGATGAAGAAAATGCCTCATATACACAAGGAGTTGCATTGATGCTGTCCAAACAAGCACAAAATGCACATATAGGTTGAGATCTCATGGATCAAGGATCATCAAAGCCTCCTTTAAAACAAAGAAAGAGGGCATTCCAGTGAACTTCATCCAATGCTATGCGCCTACCAACGATTACAATGAAGACGCTAAAGATCAATTCTACAATAGGCTGCAGTCAATCGTCGAGAAGAACCCAACAAAGGACCTGACCATTCTGATGGGAGATTTAAATGTCGAGGTTGGAATGGACAACACCGGATATGAAGACATCATGGGACGACATGGACTGGGAGAAAGGAACGAAAATGGTGAGAGATTTGCAAACCTATGTGCCTTCAATAAAATGGTTATAAGAGGCACTGTATTTGCACGTAAAAGCATTCACAAAACCACATGAACTTCACCGGTTCACACTACGCAAAACCAAATCGACCATATCTGCATCAACGAAAAGTCCAGGAGGACGATGGAGGATGTGAGAACCAAGAGAGGAGCTGATATAGCATCAGATCATCACTTGCTGGTCGCCAAGATGAAATTGAAACTCAAGAAGCACTGGACAACGGGGCGGACAATATCATAAAAGTTTAATGCAACTTTTCTTCGGGATACTGACAAACTCAACAAATTCAAGATAGTCCTCAGCAATAAGTTCCAGGCCTTTCATGATCTACTCAATGGAGAGCAACTGGAAGGGGATCAAAGAAGCAATCACTTCAACATGCCACTATCACTGTTGATACACTTTATAGGATTCAAGAAAGAAGGAACAAGATGGCAGTAATCAATGCCAGCCGAAGAAGAGCAGAGAAAGCCAAGGCACAAAATGAATATACAGAATTAAACAAGCTAGTGAAGAGGAGCATCAGAACGGACAAACGTAAGTTAGTGGAAGATTTAGCAATGACGGCGGAAAAGGCTGCAAGAGAAGGAAACATGAAACAACTGTATGATACAACAAAGAAACTGTCTGGAAATCACCGCAAACCAGAACGACCAGTGAAAAGCAAGGAAGGCAAGGTAATCACCAACATTGAAGAACAACAAAACAGGTGGGTAGAATACTTCAAAGAACTCTTGGATCGACCAGCCCCACTGAGCCCATCCAACATCGAAGTAGCACCCACGGACCTCCCAATCAATGTTGGCCCACCAACAATTGAAGAAATCAATATGACCATCGGACAAACAAAGATTGGCAAAGCAGCAGGACCAGACAACATTCCGGCAGAGGCACTGGAAGCAGACGTAGCGGCAACTGCAAGGATACTCCACATTCTCTTCAATAAGATTTGGGATGAGGAACAAGTACCAAAAGACTGGAAAGAAGGACTCCTGATCAAAATACCGAAGAAAGGCGATCTCAGCAACTGTGATAACTACAAGGGCATCGCTCTTCTTTCAATACCGGAAAAGTCTTCAACAGGGTATTGTTAAACGGAATAGGGGGCTCTGTAGAAGTCCAACTTCGAGATCGACAGGGAGGATTCCGTAAGGATAGATCGTGTACAGACCAAATCGCAACTCTACGGATCATTGTGGAACAATCAATTGAATGGAATTTATCACTCTACGTCAACTTTATTGACTACGAAAAAGCATTTGATAGCGTGGGCAGGATATCACTATGGAAGCTTCTTCGACACTACGGCGTGCCTCAGAAGATAGTCAGTACCATAGAGAATTCCTATGACGGATTAAACTGCAAAATTGTGCATGGAGGATAGTTGACGAACTCGTTCGAAGTAAAGACCGATGTTATGCAAGGTTGCTTACTCTCACCCTTTCTCTTTTTCCTGGTGATCGACTGGACCATGAAGACATCAACATCTGAAGGGGAGCACGAGA